ACTGACACTTTTTAACATCTCTTCGGGTTATCTGCAAAGTCCCGATGCATTTTTACATAGAAAGACATAGGAAAAAATGCAGCACGACTTTCCCGACTACCTAATGTTTTCGTATCGTAGTAAAAGCTCAACGCAGGGGTTTTATTTCTGTTGTTCACTTTTGTGTCCTCGGCACTTAGAGCGATGCCTGGCACACAGAAGGGACTACAGAATTACGAATTAAAAGGATGACTGGGAAAAGAAAGAAGGGGCCAAGCAGAACTTTTCAATTGATGATAAACAGACTTCCACACTCTGGTACCGTCAACACGAATGGGCAGAAATCCCATCAACGTTCTTAGAGGCGACTGGCATTAAAAACAGCAAATATGGCCCCACAAGAAGAAATCGAAGTAAATGTGGGATACGAACAAGTACCTCAAGAAACTCCTAGCAAACGAGTAGGAGAAATGGCACTCAGACTGTTAACAAAATATTCCAGTCACCACCTCCCCGACTTGTACAGGACAAAGTTAAAGAAATGCTTTCTATGTACTTGTAAGATGCTTGGTATGTACGCCTCATTTTTAGAAGGCAAAGTTGAATACTTAGATTTCCTTCTTATGTAAGTTTATTGTGAATGTTCCGTTTCCAGTATTCAAACTGATCCACATCAACGAGCAGTTTTAAATAACCAAAACCACAAACTTTGATATTATAATAAAAGTATTAAGCATATCAGGTTGTGATTTCCAGAATGCACAACATATTGAAAATTTCACCATTGTCGATTTAAACTCAGTCATTATAAATTATTATATGAGTAGTTGCTAGATTCGTGATACATAATCTGCAGATTACAGCAAGTGTTTCTGCAAAAATAAAGTTTGGGATGCATCATTTTTAAAGGACCTTTTCCTATTTTGATATTGGTTAATTCCATATTTTTCTTACCATCATTTGTAGACAACTACCTGGTGGTAAACTGCACAGCAGCAGCAGAAATATTGTACCTGAACATGCCTGTCGGCAGCTTCTTAAAGTTACAACAAAATGAATATCATCCTCCTCAGCTAAACAGTCACTTGGAGAAGGCTGAATTAGAGACTCGGAAAACGAAAGTCCAGGACTCGAAACTTCATTTCAAAATGAAACGCTGTTCTTTTAAGTGTTGTGTATGTTCACTGTGAGGTTTTTTATTTAAAGAAAGATCATGCTGTAAAATGTTGTATTGGAAAATGGGCTATAGCTCATTAACTCATCAAGGAACTGTGAGGCTACGACTTTATAATGTAGGTGAAAAGGGAATAAACTAAAGTCTTAAAGCTGTGTCTATTAGGGTGTTGGGGAAGCCATGACATACTTTTCTATTTTTTTATGCAAAAATCCATCATGACTGTCCCATGACCCAATATGTCCACTCATCATTGGTCACACTGAAAATAGAGATCCTGAGTGAATGGGCTCTAGACAGTCAATATCATCTCAATGTACAGGTATTTCTGGGAGGTAACGGGGATCCCGAGGCAAAGCCTTGACCTTCAGCAATTCACTGAGGTACAGTAAGACTTAATAAATGTTGGCTAACGCAGACTGATTTCCACTTAATTGGGTAAAATAATTGAACAGGGCTAGCCCAGTGGCCTAATGGTTAAGGGAGCTGGATCTCATATGGCTGACCACAGTTCAAATCCAGGCCCTGGAGACTTGAAAAACATGCCAGTTACATGCACATGTGTGCTCAAAATCCTGACAGAGTGGAGGAATGGAAAAGAGACTACAGCATGACCAAGCCCCACTGAGGGGTTCTTTCTCCCTCTCCCTCTCTCTGTTTTTCTGTCTGGTAAGCATACTACCCTTTGGCAAATAAATAAATAAATAAATACAAATATTTTTTAGAGAAAAATGTATTTAGATATGTGCAAACTTCTGTCCCAATTGGCTTTGAATATTTTAGTGAATATTTTTGGTTAACGTGGCTTACAACTTACAAGGCAGTCAACAAAGACAGTCCGACATATTAAAACATCAATGATTCATGGCAAAAGCTCACAGTGCTTCTCTCTTATTATATGGATATAGATGTTCAGCTCTATTTTTCCTACATATAATGCTTTTTAAAAATATTCCCCATGAGATAGGTGTAGGGATGCCCACGTCACATTACAAATGGAAGAAACTGAGCACCCAGGAAACCAAGGTAGCTGGCCGAGATAGCACAGCTGGTAACTCTCTGAGCTGGGATTCGAACTCAGGTCTATTTCATTCCAAAGTCTGCTTCTAGATCTCTGAGCCCCACTCTAGGTGGCAATTAGAACAAATTCGAACATACACACTTTAGACATTTGCAGGTAAAACACTTGTTAGGAAACAATACTGTATTTTCCACCACCAAAATAAAACCAAATCTAGACAATAACTGTTATAGATAACATTTAAGGAAATCTAAAATTTCTATACAGTACACTTTGCTAAGAGTATACGCTACAGATCATTTAATGTGTGCTTCCTGAACTAATATTACCTGGGCTACGCATTTGTATAAAATAATTCTAATGAATTCACAGTTTTCCATGTTCAACAATATCAACCTCAGAGAAAGGATGTCTCTTATTCATCGGAATCATCAACAAATCATAACCTTAAAGCCAAAAGATTTCTCCAAGTTCACTTCACTTAACCTTCACTTTATAAAAGGTAATAAACTGAAGCCCAGGGAGGTAAAGTAGCTGGTCTATGTTTATACAACTACAAAGAAGTAAATCTTACTCTTTTAATTATAGCAGGATAAAAATACTTCAATGTTTCCAATTCCCAATGAACTTCTTTGACCAGACCACAGGGGAAAAAAAAAAAAAAAACTCTTACTTTCTATGACAAACATCTGCTAACCCAGGACAGTAAACACCATGTCAAAATTAACATTTTATAATACTATCAATGGTGTTTAGGTGAATTTTTAACTACTTTCTCAAAAGATGAATAAAAATGAATTCCAAAACTTATGAAAAGAAATGTAATACTGCTATGAGCACTATAAAAACATGATTCTACCATAAGGATTAAACAAATTTATGGGCTGTGTTAGGGTACAGTCAAGATTTTAATTCTGATAGAACTGTTTGTGTTTTTTTACTGACTCCTAACCTTTAGAAGTCCAATCATTTTGGTCACTTTTGGATTTTGTTTGCCAAAACGAAGTGCTGAAATGAAACAAAGCAATGGAAAAATGCAAACCACGTAAGTTCTGCTAGCATAGAAATAGCCACTACAATATTTAAGGAGAAAATCAACTGTAAATAAAAAATGACATCTGACCACTGGATCCATCATCCTTACAAACTGTCCTTGGTGACAACGCGATCTGCCTTCACGGGGTGTTGTAATAGTGAGCATATTGTAAAATTAACAAAATTCCACTAGAAGTACCCAAATCACTTCCAATAAGAAAGGACTCACCAAAAAAAAAAGTTCAAAATAAGGAAATCCAAAGTCATAAATCACTGATTAAGCAACAGCTCAAAATGATCTACAAACTAGCCCCAAAACAAAGTGCTTGGAGAAAACTCCAGAAAGAATCATACCTTAAGGTGGAGAATTGCCGGTGATTAAACTGTAGTAATCCACATAGAGGGCCTTGTCAACAATCCCAACAATTTAACTTGTAAGTAACTCCAAAGAAGAAGTCCGAGGACTCTCCATCCAGGAAAGACAGGCTGTTGTATTGGTGCTTTCTATTGTCTGCTGATGGCAAGATCCGACAGGGACACGCAGAATGAAGAGGTGCTAGGCGTACTCCAGCTTTTTCCGCAATGCTTTCGGGATGCCTAGTGACAATTACACCTAAAAGATGGAAATTAATTAAGATTAGCTTTCAAGTCATCGCACACGCTCATTTTCTAAAGTAAAGCAATGGCCGGATTACTATATGTCAGTATTTGATGTGATCATTCAAAACTACAGAGTTCTAGCATTCGATTCATTGCTAGACGCAAATTTGAAATAACAGCTACGTGAAACTGTAACTTTTAGAAGTTAAAAATAAAATTCTGTGTTTGCGTGTTTCCTCAAGTTTTTAGCAGCACATTCTCTGTGGTTGTTTCATTTGTCCTGTCAAGGGCGAAGGGGTCTGAGGGTGTGAAGAAAGAGCAATGACCTCTGCGCTTGCAGTCCCGGAGAGGGCCGTGGAAAATGCAGTAAGTTACCTTGGCATTTTGGAACAAGCCGGTGAAACACACCTGAAGATAATGACCTAAAGGTGCACCATAGAATTCAAGATATGGCACGCGTTCCTGGTGTTTAAACACACACTAGTAGCTAGAGTGTACGTTTGTCCCCTTCCGACAAACCCTCAGCTTCAGTCTCCAAAACGCCTCCTCTATTAACCAAGTGACAGGAAGGGACAGGACAAGCAGCTTGCAGGGTACATGGGGAAAGCACGCGAAGAAATGGTGTGTAAGGTGGGGATGTTTACTAGTTGAGCTTCCCCTCCTCGGAGCAAGAAGCAACCTAGAAACATTCCAAAGTAAAGTTAAGCCACTTGGGAAACAAAGTTGTGGGGAGTCTCCCTTCCCACATGGAGGGAAGGGAAGGCGCTTGCCGCTGCGGCTGTAACAAGCCATCCCCCCATTTCGGGCGGGCGGGCGTGGCATGCAGGGACAAAAGGTTAAAACACAAAAGGCGGGGCGGACAGAGTTCAGAGGAGCTGCAGGGGCTCCCCTGTTCCCCTTTCTAAGCAAATGCAAGGAAAGGGGAGAAGGATGGAAAGTGAGGAGGTGAGGATGGATCCCAGGGAGAACACAGGTTACTGCTCAAGGGCCCAGAAAATGAAAGGGGGCAGCCGGTTCTCAGCTCTGAGCAGTGGTCCAGGCCCAGCCCCTGTCCCTGCATCCCTGCCGGTCTGGGACCTGTGGCTTCCTCCATCAGGGCCCAGCCCAGCCCCAAAGATAACTTTCTGCCTCTTCTCTGCCCCAGGTAACCCTGAGCACAAAGACCGGTCCGGCCCCCCACCACCCACAACTCTCCCGCGTTCCATTGTTGCAGCGTTCCGTGTGCTGCGTGGCCCCGCAGACGGTTAAGTTTTAAAACGGCGAGGACGCGGCTCCCCAGCCCGTCTCTGTTCCCTTTGCGGGCTAGGGTTGGGGGTGAGGCCGGACTGAGTCTCCTTCAATGTCACCAAATTCTCATCGTCAGGCACAGTGCGCAGCTGGGCTGGGCGCAAGGGAGGTAACATGCCCCTGCCCTGCGCCTTCGGATACCTCCTCCCCAACCCCCTGCTCCTATTATAAAGAGGCGCAGGGCAGAAACGCCAGCTCGGCTTTGCCTATTACAAATAAACAAATGAAACAATCCCTACAAGTTCTTTAAAGAACAAAAGGGAAGGGATCGGGACAGGAGGGACAATCGGCCAGCCAAACTTGGCCACCGGAGTACTCCCAGCCCTGCGCAGGGCGGGCAGCAGGGCGGGTTGAGGAGTAAACAGGGCAAGGGTCCCACTCACCTCCGTCCCCCTGGGTCACACTTTTAAGAGACGTCTCTGGTGTGGCAGTCCGAGAGGTGCTTTTCTGTGGTCTGACAGCGGAGAAAGTGGCGGCGACAAAGTTGCGAGAGGGAGATACCCGGGCGTCCGGAGGAGCGAGGACGAAAGAGTTCATAAGAGTTCCCCCTTTTGTTCCAAGGCCTGGAGCAGACAAAGGCGGAGCGGCAGGGTTTTTCCTCTCACCCCCTCTTTCTCTTCCCCT